TATGTAGCATGTGTCTAGCCTGGAGGTTCTTTGCTGGTGGATATGTTAGCCCTGATTGTGTTTAAACATTCAGGATAAAATTTTTGCTGTGTATGTAATGTAAAAAGCTATCATCTCAAAATAACAAAGAAACAAGTGTTCTCTTTTTATGCATACCTTTTTGTTGTTAGACTGTACCAGTATGCACAAAGGGGCCTCTTCTAGAGATTAGAGGCTTGTAGCAAAGGAAGCTGAGTTCTCCACATGTCACCGCTCCTCTTTAGGTGCATGTGACTGAGCAAATCCCTGTTCTCTTGTGAGCCTCAGTTTCCCTATCTCCAGAGTAATACTGGTACTTTCATTTGTGGATGGAGTTAATATCTAAGAGTGGACAATTCTTTGGGGAGTTGCTTATTATTTTTAAATCCTTTCATGAAAATCAGACAATTAATGGAATTATTATTCTCTTATTTATCTGCTTTGGGCTGTAATTACATGTGCGGAAGTACTGAAATGATTATGAACAGTATTATTAAATGTGCAATTATGGGTAAGCTTCAGAAATGTGAATGTAAAAGTTTAACCTAGGTGATTGGTGATTTCTGTAAAATGTTTATTTTGCTCTTCTGTGTACGTATCTCACACAATGGAAGAAATTAATGTGTTCTCTATAAATTTAGTGAGAGAACCTGTAAAGGTGCACTGCTTATAGGCAAGAATCTGGGGAAAATCTTTTGGAATATTCATGTTTAGCATAAATAATGAAGCTACAAGTGATTTGAGCAGATTATATTTCATGGTGTCAGTAAAATATTTACATCAGACTTTCTTGTAAGAGGAACAGAATTTTGCCAGAAAGTTTCAGGGTACCCTGGTTTTAGACTTTCTTATCCCAGTCTCTTCACATATGAAATAGAATGGCTTTTCTTCAGCCTACAAACCAGAATCCCTTGAGATAATAAGCCAGGGAGAATTTCTGATATGTTAGGTCATGCAAATATGGATAGACTTTACAATGGCAGTAGGCCATAGTAATAGGCAACAAGGTGCCTGGGGGAGTCTGGGCTCCCTTTGAACCCATACAGTGTGTCCCAATCCTGCTGCAATAAGCACCATAGCATCTCTTCTAGCAGGCACGATGTAGCCAGCTTTCAGAAAAAAATACATATTCACCATCCTTATGGTCCTCTGTAGAGAAGGAGGCTTGATGTAGATGGGGAACCACAGTGCTGTCCTGAAAATGTAGGTAATGTCAGATGCAAGTTAGGTCTGAGGATCTTGCACTCAGTGCAGAAAATTTCTCAAGCATCATGTTCAACTGTTTGTACTTTCTGACTTGTTTATCCATGGTACAGCATGAGTCCATTGATACGGCCTTAAGAACAGGATGTAAAGAAAAAAGAACAATTATTTTTAAAACACTTAATAGTTACAGTTATGAGGATTTTGTATGTAATACTATATAGTATTTTAAGATCATAAAACTCCAGTTGTATCTCTTTTAGAAAAAAATGGTGGAAAGATTTTGAAGTTACCCCTTTTATCACTGAGAGATCAAAGGAGATTAGACCTCAAACTTTTCACCTTTCCAAGATAGAATAACACCACTTTTTATGGTATAATTTGTCTGAAAGTAAAATATTCTTCTCTGTAAAAATATATTTTGGCAGTTTGCCATATATACGTACCTTTTTTTTTGTATTACAATTATACCTTAAGGCTTTGTTATGCTATTTAGTCTACAATATATATTAAAAAAGACAGTTCTGTCATTTTTACTGCAAGAATTTGCAGTGTTAACATACAGCAAAGGACAACTGACAAGGATAAACAAGGGAGGAAAGGGCAAAGTCACTGCAAATATGAATTATATTCAATTCCTCAAATAAATATAAAGGTAAAGTATTGCTTTGCCTTTAATTCTGCCTGTGTACACCCTGGAATTTGTCTTTCTGTGCGTAACAGAAAATTGTCTTATACCCACAAGCTACTGTTTCACCCCTGGTTTGAAGCAGGGCAGGTAACAGGTCCTGGGTCTCCCCCATATAGGTATCATGGTAGGAATATAATGTGATCCTGGAAGTAAATTTGAGTGCATTTGGCTGAAGGGGGAAAGCAAAGGGCAGCGACAGGGAGGAACTGAGTGCACTGTAGGCAACTGCCTGGACGCAGGCATGGACAGTCTGCCTGGGAACTGTCTGAGCTTTCAACAGTAGGTTCAATCTAACAGGACTTAATGGCCTCCAGCTTTGCCTTGGCATGAGCCCTTTTGCTTCATGGGAATCTCCAGGATGATGCAGGAAACCCTGCAAACAGTATGTGGGATCCATGGGTACATTGATCAGCAAGGTGCTTGATTGAACACATCTAGCTTGAAACACAAGAGTAGTTGTGGTAATTTTGATCTGAGTGTGAACGTTTGCCTCCTGCAAGGTATTAAATGTAAAAATGCACACAGGTAGTTTATTTTATGGAACAAAATTTTGTGAATGGACATACCTCGGGGTATGGCTTGAGAAGATGGAGAGTTTGGGAGCAGTGCTGTGCCTGTATCCCCACTTCTTGTCTCCACCCTGTCTGGATGTTGACCCCACTGTCAGTTCCATGGTGCCAACCCAGAGGTTTATGGACTGATGGATCATTAAACCACTGAAGAATTTCTTTGGAGTGATAAAACAAACAAGCAAACAGCAGTTCCTGAAGGACTGTTTGGCTGCAGCAAAGAGGACAGAAGACATAGATGGGAAAACCTCAAACTGGCATTGCTATCAAAGCTAGCTTGACGTTGAGCCACAACTGCAGGGTACATTGGCTAGTACCATGCATCATTTGCCTATCAGGGAAGAAATAAAGGGTATGTGGATTGTATATGGAATAATTTATTTCCATTTAATGTCAGGAGTTGGGATTTTTCTTATCTGCCTGCAGAGTGTTTGGGTGATAGGACCTGGGCTGCAGAACAGGGTACAGTAGCAATTCAGTTTGTCGATGAGCTCAAAGGCTTCATCCTTTAGTCAAAATTCACAATTAAGGAGCTTAACTGAACCATTGTTCAAATATAGTTTGCTTCTGCAGATTCTCCCTTATATTTGAAATAAATGTCACTGCACATGCTAACCCAATGCTTTTTGTAAACCAATGTTAAACCCATACTTGTAGTTCCGCTGCAAGTCAACCTTTTTCCCATGCCTTTGAAGAGATGTTGTGTTGAGATCTTTTTACTTTACCTAAATTTCTTCCTGTAGGACTTTTTTCTTTTGCTTTGCTTTTCCAGAATGCTTTGTTAAATACAAAATTTTCATTGCTTCCGGCCCCATGTTGAGTATTTCCCAGTTCTCTGTCCTATGCAACTTTTCTTGCAAGCTCTGCATTAAGATCTCCTCCTTCCTTTTTCCCCATTTTATCTACTCTGCAAAGAACACTTTTTTTTTTTCTTTTCCCTCCTTCTCAAACATCTCCTACCTGTTTTCTCACTTAGATGGCACACCATGCTTTTCCTCAAAGATATCACCATTGTCGAATTTGTTATCGTGTATAAACTCACATGCAAATCTGGGAGGAGGAAAGGTGGCAACAGAATGAGAAATACAGCAACTTGAAGATGTATATCTGCACCTATATTTTACATTTCACAAATCTGAAAAATCGTAGTGCTATATGGTATTTTGGCTCTACTTGCATTTCTGATCTTGACTTTTGTATGATATTGAGTTCACCAGGCTACCTCCTGGTAGATGTATTCAAAGATGAAACAGTTTCTCAATGTCATGAGGATTCCAAAATTAGATCAAAAGCTTGTTCTGGATGAGAATGCTGAAATCCAGAGTTAAATATTAGAAATAATTTTAGTGGTTGCACAATATCATTCTTTATTATAGCATTTCCAGAATGAGGAGGAAAATTAACTTAACAAGGTGAGGTATGACATGAAATTTATCACTGATAGAGTCAAAAAGAAATTATTTGCACTTCACATTCAGCATTGTACACGTAACTATATTAATGATGATTCTTGCCAACCTTCTTTCAAGCAACAGATATAGGTCACAGCCAGAAGGAGAACGCTAGCCTTGAACAACTCTGTGATTTTTGTCACAGGTTTTATTTTGAAATCCTCTTGTTCTCCAAAAGAAAAATGAACTAAAATTCCTTGATATATGAATGTGCTAGAAAACATGCATTTTTGTTTCTTCATATATAACTTTTGGATGTTGCTTTGAGGCTTATTATGTTTTTCTTTTGTAACGCGATATATAACTTTTTTTTTCCTTCTTTTTTTTTTAATTGTGTGAAGTAAGCATTATTCAGGATGTTCCAGGTGAAGTTCTGCTGGCTTCACTATTCAAGATAACAGACTAGCTTTTCACAAAGGATCCCTGCAGGCTGTTAAAATGCGTAATTGTATAAATGACGCATGTGCTTAGAGTGTTCAGATTTTTATCCCAAGAAGAATATTTTTTTTATCCCATATGAAGAATAATCTTCCCCTTCAGGAAACCATTACAGTTCAGGAAAGATGCCTTATTAAGTGCCTGACTTAAAGAGTACTTTGAAATAGTCTGGATGTTAAGTGCATACTGAAGAGTTGTTGTAACAGTCATCCCAATTCTTTCCAGACATGGATTTACTGTGGCTTTGTTTCCTACCAAGTCATGTAAAATGTCAAGGAGGAAAAAGGGGCTGTGTAATGTATCAAGTGGTCTGGGGCTGCATCGTGCCTTGATTACAGCAGATAAAAATCCCAACACTGTAAATCTGAGTTTCATTAATAGCTTTGGGCCCTAACAGGGATACTTCACCAGGACTCTTTTCGGTGGGTTTTTTACATACCACATGTTATTTAAAAGTGTATGTGTGTTTTATTACTGAAAGAATGAGGTTTCATTTTTTAAAAGATTAAAGGAACAGACCTGTTTACAATCATATGTGTGTATTCTCAGCTGTGTATACGTGTGCACTTTATTCAACCTTACATGCTTGTGTGCACTAAAATTTATGCTGGTTTTGATGTTTTCTTCCAGGGGAAGACCCTGAAACAAGAAGAATGAGAACTGTAAAGAATATAGCAGACCTGAGACAGAATTTGGAAGAAACTATGTCCAGCCTTAGAGGGACCCAGATAAGCCACAGGTATACTGGTTTTGTGTAGACTGCTAAAAATTTGGACCGTAGGAGAGTATTACTAGTTGCTGAATGAATTAGAGACTTGCAAGGGAAAATTAACTATGAAACTAACCATACTGCTTGCTAGACTGCCTCAACAACTCAAATGTGACTTTAATATACTTTACTGTCAAAGTGTCTTATACAATCGTTCACAAAGATGGTTATTGTTTCGTATGCATCTACTTAGAAGCCTATAAAATTTATTTTAGGTTATTTTATAAGTAGAGATTATTGTTTACACAAACACATGTGCACACGGAGAAACACACACACACACACACAGAACTTTTTTAAAAAAATATATATTCTTCCAGCCTTTGCTTTTCCTTGTTTCTCAGGAACAGAGAAAGCACAGTTCACTGACCTCTCCATTTTGTTTGGTAGCACATTGGAGACAACTTTTGACAGCACTGTGACAACTGAGGTGAATGGGAGAAGCATACCAAGCTTGACAAGCCGGTCCACCCCAGTGACTTGGAGGCTAGGGCAGGCCAGTCCTCGGCTGCAGGCAGGAGATGCCCCATCCTTGGGTGCTGGTTATCCTCGCAGCAGCACAAGTCGCTTCATACACACAGACCCTTCTCGATTCATGTACACCACCCCACTTCGCCGAGCAGCTGTTTCTCGCCTTGGAAATATCTCACAGATCGACATGAGTGAGAAGGGAAGTGGTGATTTGGACATGTCCTCTGAAGTTGACGTTGGTGGCTACATGAGCGATGGGGACATTCTTGGGAAAAGCCTCAGAACTGATGACATCAATAGTGGGTAAGTAGCACTTTTTCCCCATTTGAGATAATGCAAGATTGGCAGATTTAATAGGATTTTTCTAACAAATTCTGGCACACAAGTGGAAGCTGCATTGTGGTTGCCACATAAAAATACACATATAAAAAAAACAAAACAAAAAAAAAAGCCCCTAAGCTGCCAGTGATGTTCTCACCTGCCTTCAAATTCAGTTCTTCTCCTTTAACATCAACATGACTTTGCTATGAACTTTGATAAGAGCACAGGTACTTCTTATTACTTATAGGAATTTCTTAGATATCTGGTAAACCATCATTTTGCACTGCTTGCTCTGGGACAGGTCTTGTTTTGGTGTTTTTATGTTTTATTTGAGATAGTAGATATGGTGTTGGATGCAGCTGATGAAAAGCAGTTGCTGACAGCACTGACTTTTCTCTGTTTCCGCTTCAGGTATTGTCTAGTATAGTCTGTGTGATAGGCCTTTATTGCAGTTTTTCAACTGTGCATATCATCTAAGCCATAGGAATATCTTTTCATAAAAGAATAGTAACCTAGCATACCCAGGAAGAAGAATGGCAATTATTTTTGGTTTTGTTTGCTGAATCAGTTGATTGACTTTGGGGTACTGCATTCTCTGTGTTTCAAACTTCTAAAGAATTGTTGAACAAAAAAAGCCACATTACTGTTTTACTCCTACTTAAATTACTGTTCAGTGCTGTTGTTGGCCTCTCAAGGCTGCTTAGTGGCTGAGGCAACATTGGTTTGAACAGAAGTCCCATAAAGTACATGGCTATGTCTCACCACACTACTTTGCTCTGTATAAATTTAGGACTCTTGCTGTCAATGTAATCTTTTAGTTTTAAGTATAGCTATGAGTAGAGAATGGTGGCTGATGAAATTGGATATGCTACGTTCCTAAGGGCAAATGTAAGTCTGTGATCAAAGCTCTCTCTAGAGTAGAGTCTCACCTCAAGCACCATCCAAAGATAGACCTCTAGAAAAAGCATAACTATAAAGAAAGCATATTCCTCTGTCTCCCTGGTGCCCTGCTTCAGTGATCTGTGAATGGAGCACTGCTGACAAGGTTGTCCACAGCATAGCATTAGTGGCTGTCAAGTAGGATGCCATATTCATGTGTGCTAGAACAGAGAAAAGACATATGGAAAATGTAATACTTTAACGTCTGAAGACCTTTTATCATAAAGGAAATATAAATACTGCCTTTGATGGATGCATGGGTTTTGGTTGTTTGTTTTTTTTTTAAAGATAGGGGAATCCTTTGCAGTGCCTAATGAGTTGTATTAATTAGCTTATCACATTAGAGAATGAATATAGTCATTTTGTGTGACTTTTCTTTGCATCTGTAATAAGGATGACTCAATCGACAGTAAGTTGCAATGTGCTCAGTTAACATTTTTAGGTGTGGTAAATGTTAAAAACAAGTTAATAAGCTCTGAAATTTCAGGATTCACTGAGGCATGTAAAGTCTTATCTCCTTTATGCCTCTTCCATTTTCAGTTTAATTACTTTAAACACTTGGGGACAGGAATGCAGCAGTAATTAGAAATTAGGGCGAGGAAGGCCTGTTGCACTTGTTAAGTGTCTCCATTCAGGCCTTACTTATACAGGAAAAAATCCGTATAGACTGGATTGCATTCAAACCACAGCTAAATTTAATATGCAATTCCAGAGCCTTGGAACCTACTGCATAATTCACCCCTAGCTAAATAATGTGTCAAAAAGGCTAAATTTTGTCTTTAATAAAAGGATAAATCTAGTGTGTAAGTGTGACTGTTAATTTACCTTTGAAAACAAATGTGAAGTTACCTTCTGCAAACTCCAGATACCAGGGTTTCAGAAATCCCTTGCTGGCCAAATCTTACCAGTGCGTAAAATGCCTCAGAGTTTAGTTGAAAATAAGCACACCAAGCCTTTGTGTTTTAATGCACTTGAGGTTGCCCTCATCCAGATTGCCATCCAGGACACGATGCCGTCTCGAACTGTAGCTGTCGCACAGTGCTACCCTACCGCAGCTTTGGTCTCAAAGCCTGCACCAGCTCACCCACCCCGAAGCGTGTGGGTGGAGGCTGGTGCTCCCGGGCTGCTGTATTAGCCCCGCGGTCTCTGGGACAGTTGATTTCAATTAAATCAGCTCCCAGAAGGAACTGCAGGGAGAGGGCCAACAGAACATCTGGAGCACCGGCGGTGTGTGTGTGTGCCTTGGCTTGTGCCTGCGAGTCTGTGTAGAGTTATTAAAGTTAATTGTTTGTGTACTTGGACACATGCTTCAACTGAAAGACGGATTTGAGTGGCACCATTTCACGGCTCAAGGAGAACTTGTGTTAAAGATTGTCTGAATCGGGAGTGAACTCCAGTAGATCGTTTTAGCCATCATCCTAGCATTGGGACTACAGTAAGCCTGTAAGTTTATCTTGAGCAGGTTCACTGAGGTATATAAATTTTTTTTCTGTGTCTGTATACTTCTGTGTTAAGTGCCATACCAGTGCATGGTACTTCACAAATAAATTTGTGCAAACTCTGTACTAGGTTGCTATACCACAGTTACCAAAAACTACAAGAGTGAAATGTAAAAAACAAGAGCCTAAGAGGGAAGACAGTTTAATGTAAGGTCCTTTGAGAAAATAATGGACAGGTCTTGAGAATAGGACAGGCTTGTGGTACTGCTCAGTTATAAGCACCAAGACCTCTCAGAGAGATATTAAAGTGTAGGTAGGCATTCCAGAAATTATTGCTGCTGCTTGAAATTCAGAAACTTTTAATGGTTCTCTAGTGAGTAAGCAGCACTATACTCACTGTTCCATTCATTAGTCATTCATTATAATGTGAAGTGGTAGGAATCAAGCTAAAGGAACACAGAAAGAAACAGATTCTTAAATGTCATTGTAAGGGCTTCAGTGGATCTCTCTTTCATATCTGAATGATTGCATCCCAGCAGGGACTACGGATTTGGGATTCTCAATTTCTGTTCCCATTTAGATGGATAATACTGATTTTTTCCTTCTTTTTCTTTTTTAACTGGAGTTATGCTTCTTGCATCTTCTGCTATTATTTGACAAAACTGCAGTACTTAAAATGTACTTAAAATTTTGAAGGTAGTTGAGTTCAATCCAAATATATTTTAATAAAACAGGTTGGCCTGTAAGCCATCACAGAAAAAGACAAATGGTCCTAGAAAATAGACATGTATCTGATCTCCCTGCACTGGGCACACAAAGTGAGAATATTTAGTATAAGTCTACCATCTAATAGGACAGCCTGTAACTTAAACATTTGAATTCCACAGTCCATTAACTTTAGAGTGAAACATCGTTGCCAGATGGCTGCATTTCGCACCGATTGACCACACATTTATTTTCAGGTACATGACAGATGGTGGACTCAACCTATATACAAGAAGTCTGAACCGAATACCAGACCTAGCTGCATCTCGAGACGTCATTCAAAGAGGGGTTCATGATGTGACTGTGGATGCAGACAGGTAACAGCGCTTTGCTAAGTAAAAAGCTATCTGAGCTTACAGATATTTTTTATCCTTCGTACCTGCTAATATATCACCATTTTGTTCATAAGGAATAGCAAGCGAAAGCAAGCTTCTGAGACTGCTAGGTTTCTGAGCACACCATACACCAAATACCACAACAGATAGGGAAAAAGCAAATTTCTCACATGGGGACGGGTCTTGGGAAGAATTTATTGTTGAAGATGTCAGAGAAAATATTAAGAAGCACAGACCTTACTTGCAATCTTGAATCTCTGAAATGGGACATGACTTTTACAGGTTGCCTTGTCAATTGACGAGCATAGGGACAATGCACACAGTCTTTAGGCAGCAGAGAGCTTGCGTGTGCCTGATGATGTGGGTCAGAACAGGCCTTTGGAGTTGGCTGGAACCAGAACCCTGGTCTTCTCCACCCGTTTTGGCCTCTACCAGTGTCAGAAGGTGGCAGTACCTGTGAGCAGTGGGACGCAAGAAGTGGGGTTATATCCCATTGTCTATGCAATGTGAAAAAAGAAACAATGCTATCCTGCCCCTATATCTGTATATATGAGTGTGAGCAAAAAACCATGTTCCCATTAGTACTTCTGCAGATTAGGCAAGTGTTTTCTGTTTCTTTTCCTTGAGCTTAAAGTAGATTTATATTGGTGGCTTGTATCCGTGTCTGAGAAATAAAAATTCATACCCCAACTTTTGCAGAACTTAGAGCTGTCAGCTCTGAGATTTTGGTCAGACCATTATAGAGATAAGAAGCAGCTGTGAAATTTGGCAGTCTTCAGTTTTAGGGGGTTGATTTCAGTCCCATCTTTTTAAAATCAAGTTTCCTTTAAGGAAAAAAAAATTATTTAATCAGGAAAAGAGAAAAGGTTCATGGAGTGGCTCTGGTTTTTCTTGAAGAAGCTCTAGGATATTAACCTAGGTATGATATAATTTTTACTTTTCACAGTCTTCTGGTGAAAATATGCCTGTGACACAAGTCAAGGATAGTCTGCATTAGTGAAACAGTGCATGCAATGCATCAGGATAAAGAAGATAATTTTCATCTAGAGAAACAGTTACTTAAAAAAGAAGGTTGCTTTAGTTGACATATTAACATTTGTTGACCTTGCAGAAAAAGCCTCTGATAGCAACCCAAATGAACACAGCTCGGTTCTTTGGAACACAAGCATTGATGTGATGAAAAGATCAGAGAAAGTGTACAGTAGGCGTTTAAGAAAATAATTTGGATAGAACTCAGGCAGTAACAGAAGGAGAAAATGAGAAATGAGATGTGGGCAGGAGGGACTTTTATGGAGCTCTGTATGTGAGAATGAGAACCTCAAGCTCAAAGTGGGAGAGAGGGTGGAAAATTTAGAGGCTGGGAGTCATGTAATTAAAGACAGAGAATCTCGCTAGCGCCCACGTTTTTTGTATGTCTCTATATCTTTTTTTCACCTGGGAGTGAAGTTATTAGAGCTCTTCCCACTATGCAATATTCACACCCAGGTTTCAAACCACGCACATTTTCCCTGGAAAAAAGAGGTCCAAATTAAGGGATTTAAAATTTTTTTTTAGTATTCCTCAAACTCTAGATACCACTCGAACACTTTGTGTTTGTTTTGCTTTGAAGTGTTATTTAGTAATGTATGTGTTAATTTGTTCTATATAGTGTGCAGGTACATACATGTTTTGCATGTGACACCACAGGGAGGCTATCATCAGTTCTCAATTAATAAGATTGTCCAGCATTTCCCAGTACATAAATCTGTTTGGTTTGTTTATACAACTTTGTCAGACTGGCTAAAAATGTTGTGCTAAAAACTACTCTGCTGTTTCTGAGTCTTTCATCTCTGAGTCTATCACTTGCCAGGTTGTGGAGCAGGGACTTCAAATTTGTCAGATTATTTTGGGTCTTGAGTGAAAAATTGACCAATTTTATGCAAGATACAAGGCATTTAAAAAAATGAAATTCACGTCTGTTCAGGAAAGATGTATTTGATCTCAATGACTAAAATTTCAATCTATTCCATCTTCACTGTGCATTTCCAAACTGCTCTTGACATTAGCAAACTGCATGAGCAAGCCCCAAAGTAATTTTTGAGCTTAAAGGCTACAGATGGAAGTCGGATTTACCCTGCAATGACTGCTTTCCCTTACACAAAGAATGAAAGCTGGACTCCTGTGCTCTGCTGGACCCTCTAAACAGGGTGTCATGGAACATACTATATGCTATCATGTAATTAAGAACTTTATTGTAATGCACAGGCATGAGGGATTTTAATTATGGATGTTCAGGCAATTCTGGCGTTTTCTGACCTTTCAATGCTTGATTTTTACAACTTTAATCATGCTTTGTTGACGTGGTTTTTTTGTGTATAAGTATATACTGTTTCTTGAAGCAGCAAAAAGGTGTTTAGGAAGTGGAAAAAATTAAATATTTTTATGAGTTCTGATGTTAACAAAACATATGCTTGCCAAAATAGGTCACAAACAACCTGTATTACGTCAAACACACACACACAGAATTGTTTATGCTGATCTTCAACAATGTGTGTCACATTTATGGTATGAAATCAGATGGAAAAAGCATTTTAGATCTTATTTTTTCTACTCTGAACAAAAAAATAATAGGGTTTGTGTCAAGGCTTCAAGGTATGCCTTGCCACTGGTATGGTGAATTTCCATGAAAGAGAATTATTCTTCTCTCTATCATCCCTGCAGATATGCGAAGGACGTATGCGTTTTCTCTACGGTATCATTAGTATAAGCCTTTTTCATAATTGGCATGATTTGCCCTGGCCTTTCTGTTGTAAAGGGCTCTGCTGGCATCTCTGTACAGGCAGAAAATAAATTATATGCTGCAAATATCTGGTTTACGTTAGCAGCCAGGAGAGAAGTTTCAGTATTCTGTCCATCACTAGAGCCCGCAACTTTTGCTGACAGCCATGCCATGTTCTTCATGAAAACTGAACTTGGGTTTTCTCTGACAACCTAAATTACAGTGTCTGCTTATATTTTAAAACTTTTTCTTTTTGTGAGCTGGCACTACATTATTCTTCAGATAGGTGAGCTGATGATATCTCTAAGGGTAATGTCATTTCTGGGAAATGTATACTTTCAGACTGATTCTCATTTAATGGATAAATCAGGAATCAGGAATAATTCATTGAAATTAAGGGCATGGAACTGGTGTAAAAAGGCAATCAGGTTCCCAGTTTGATTCCACTCTAAATTGGTTTCAGATAGCACCTGCATCTCCATTTCTTGCCAAAAAGCAAGGGGCTGAAGGATCTCCATGTGAAAACCTAGCCTGAGAGAGCTCATCCAAATAATAATATTAAATTGCTCATTGAACAACTTCATAAAAAGTTAAATTCATGCATGCAACATAAGCCAAGGCTGAAGCATTGATTGCATACTGTTCTGGAAAGCACATTGGTGTAGAAAGGAGCACAGCATATTTGCCTAGGGAAAGAATTGTAATGGTTCAATGAAAGGCTGAAGGGACACTGGCAGCATCAGATGTCAACAGTTGTATCATTCTTTTTGTGATTTTTTTTCTAATTTGGACTCTTTTTTTGGTCTATAAATGCCTATTCCTTGCAATTTGCCTTGCTTCAGATACCATAAGAAATTAATTAGAGAGGAAGATGGATTCTCTGCAGCGGGTGTAACTTGGGATGTGGCTGGGAGAGTTCTCAGTTGTATGATATTACTTTTCATTTACTGTTCTGTCTTCCTCCTCTGCACTCTAGCACTTGCCTTCTGGGGCTCTTAGAGGGAGTATTTGAGGAACATTCTTGGAGTTCAAAACCCTTTTCAAAGTAAGATGAGCCAAAAGAGATTGGACATAAGCACACAAAATGAATTATGTTCTTGGGAAGAATAGGGTTTATTGAAAAGTAAGTTGCAGTGTTTCCAAACCACCCTGTGTTGTCCATAAAAACTGTTAGGAAAGTTTAAACTAGCCCTTTTAGAAGGGGATATAGCTCCACTGAGTTCAACCATTGTCCTTCCACCCTCTGTACCTGCTGAATTTAGTGCACTGTATCAAAAGCCACAGTTTCCTTCACTTTCATCAGTCAACAGTCAACATAAATTGTGCAACCGCTTTCCCCTCGCATTCCTTGAATGCACTCTTCTTTTTTTTTTTACACCTTTTCTTCAGATGAAACCCAAAGCTTTAAAGGTAGCCTGTGCTGCTTAGTGTGCTTTTCTCATGACCCACTTCAGCTATTTTGCTGTTGCATTGAATCGGAGCCCCCGTTACACGGAGTTCTTGTGCACAGGGAGTCTTTAAAATGCTTCCACCATCTGTCACATGTGCAGAAGATTTGGCAGTTATCTCACACTAGCTCAGGCTGGCCTGTTTGTTCTCAGCCAAACCATAATCACCATAATACATTATTAATTATAATTATAATAAAATAATTCCAGATTTTGCCTGTCGTTTATTAACTAACTTCCTGCATGAATGACTATAAGTCTTCTTCTGGTGTCTGTCTGAGTAGATGAGCCTTGAGTTGGAATATTGTACTTTTGGAAAAGGAACTTTTCCAGAGTTCAGAGGGGTATTGAACTGGGAGCCCTGTTTCATAGGGTTGGTAGCATCAGAAAAGCTGAGAGACATCATGAACAGTAACTTAAAATCCTAATAGAATACAATGCCTGTTCTCATGCTGTGAAGTTTTGGCAGCACATTGAAATTGCTGATGTCATTTGGAATTTAACCTTTTGGGATGTTGTCCAGTGGACAAGCATACTTTATGTATTGCTTTTCTATCCAGATGCTTCTGCATAATGCCTTTTTCAGCACTGCACTAGTACTGTGCTTTCTGCCACGTGTGCCTGCAGTTTGGTGTTGATGAGATCACTGTTCTGCCATGTTGCCACTATTACCTGTTCACTTTGCTGCTTCTGGTAGCAGAGTGGGATTTACTATGGATAGTTAAAGGAATTGTATATAGCACAGTATTAGTGATATTCACCGTGTGCACGCATTC